GAGTGAAAATCATTAATAGGCAATCGTTCTATGGGCTGAATTGCACAAAACGCATGGTCGCACCGGCTAGTCTGGTGCGCGTTGCTATTTATTTCAGTTGTTATATCACTGCACTTTGCCAGCAGTAGTGCCACTCTTTCCAACATTTACAGCTATTCTCCGAGCGGTGTGGGTATTTCGTAAATATTATTGGCTTATCCCTTTTGGGGTGCTTCGCTGGGATAATCAGCTCGGCTGCGAAAAATTCACCCATTCCTTTCGAGCTGCTTTCGCATGCCAAAGAGTCAAACCCGCCATCAGCTTGCTTCTGAGCAACCATTGCGAAAGAGGGCGCCATCGACAGCTTGCTGCTGCTTCCGAGTGCGCAGAGCGGTCCTCTCTGCTCACATTGCGTTCAGCTATTGTTCTCGGCTGGCACGTGGCATTGTATTTCGGTTTTTATTGCATTTGCTGTCCCGTCTTGACATTCGCTGGTTCGCCAGGTGGGTGCCTTTGACTCGCAGGCGTAACGGGCCTCGTGCCGGTCTCGTTATTCGGGTTGTTGCTGGTCGCGCCTTCCTAAAGGAGGTCGAGGCGGAAGCTCGTGCTCTCCAAATCTCCTTGCGCAGACCACTGCTTCTTGGTGTACGTTACGCGCCAGATGCCTTTGACACTCGCTGTTAAATATAAGATTTTGACGCAGTTAAATTTATATAGTTTCGTTTCGCGCAGTTAAATATAAGATTTCCACGCAGATAAATTTTTTATAATTTTGTTTCGCGCAGTTAAATATATGATTTTCATGCAGTTAAATTTGTTCAGTTTCGTTTCGCGCAGTTAAATATAAGATTTTCATGCAGTTAAATCTGTATAGTCTAGTTTTGCGCAGTTAAATATATGATTTTCACGCAGTTAGATCTATGTAGTTTTGTTTAGCGCAGTTAAATGTATAGTTTTCACGCAGTTAAATTTGTACAGTTTCGTTTCGCGCAGTTAAATATAAGATTTTCGTGCAATTAAATTTTTATTTTTGTTTCGCACAATTAAATATAAGATTTTCATGCAGTTAAATTTTTTATAATTTTGTTTCGCGCAGTTAAATATAAAATTTTCACGCAGTTAATTTCTTATAGTTTTGTTTTGCGCAGTTAAATATAAGATTTTCATGCAGTTATCTCTTTGTCATCGTCGTGAAATTCTTCGCTGAAAAATCACGGTGTTTTGCTGAATTATTAATTTTTTCTACGTTTCAGGGCATATCTGCAAAAAAAAAAATGGCGAATTATCATATGTCCGGTGCCGAATATTTGGCCTCGATTTATGGTACCGAGAAAGATAAGGTTAGTCTGATTTTTTATTCATGTTACGCGCCAATCAAGAAAAACTTCCGCTCAGTGCCTGGAGGAGGGGGCAGTTGGCTAGGTTTGGGCTACTTTTCTGTGTCCCTCGTAATATTTTATGGCGCTCAAAAGCCTAGATGCGACATGAAATGCTTTTTTTGCTGAGAGGATTTGACTTCTGTGGATGCGTAAGCTGACTGTAGCATCCAGGCTGACCTTGAATATCGGGGTATCAAAGTATGGAAGGCGTATAAAATATGGAAATTAACGAAAATTAGATACGGAAACACGCGGAAATTAGCCTTAGCAGTAACAATACGTCGTCTTATGCACGTCCTAGTTATGCCACCTAGTATCGCTTCAGCTCCTACATTTCCAAATTCCATCTGCCCACAGAGCCCAGACGGCCCGTGGGGTCTTTTTCTTTCCATACAGAACAGAAAAGAACATGGAAAGGAAGAAGGAATGAGGTAAGACGTTTCGGTCCATTAAGTCATGTACATAAATATTAGGCACAGGAAGCAGATTGATAAACCCTGGTTATTATGACGAAAGTAGAAGGGGAGGAGGAGGAGAGAGAGAGATGAAGAAAAAAAAAATACTTGAAATATCTCTTAATAACTGTACAAGCAGCGAGATGTACTATCAAGAAATAACAGACCAGAAGAACTGTACTCAGGCGTCATGTGTAAGGTGATATTTTACGATGCAGTCAATCTGTGTGTTTCATCCCTTAGCTGTAAACATAAACCGGACTATGCATGCGGGTAGCAGTGGGAATCGTCAGTACAGCCTTCCTACTCCTCATGTATTGAAAGGACATGTAACTAATTTGCAAGACGGATATGTGAAAGAAAAAGAGAGAGAGAGAGGAGAAAAAGTGCAATAGCGTGAAAGTAATAAGAGTGATGGAGCAGATGGAAGGGGAGGAAACTAACATATGATATGGGTAGTAATTCTACGTAATTATGAGGAGGCAAGAAAGCTGTGCGCAAATTGGCATTGCGATCACACGGAAGGTGATTACTGGTGCTGTATGGGAAGTAAAAGGCCTT